GGCAAGCACGTAGGCAAGTATGCACGTACGTACTATGCTGCACCATTCCGTCATGGTTACTAACATGAGTCGTATTCTTCAATTTGCAGTAAGGCGAGCTTGGTTTCATCATATACTGTCTATTTTCCAAATGGCCTTTTACACAAAGGTGAGTCTTTTTCTTTTTAAAAAGACTTTATTGGGCATATCAGATAAATATTTGAACAAGGCAAAAGTACAATAATACAATAACAAATAGAAAACAGAAGAGAAACTGAGATAAAACTGCACCCAAAAGGGAAGGCGCGAACGGGACGTAAAGTCCAATGCGAGGCGCCACCCATTATGAATTTAAAATCACTACAAAATAGAATATGGTATTCAGTGCATGTGTTGTAGGATCATGAGTTGCTAAGCAATTTGCAACTGATGCATACGTCGTCTTGCACAGGGAGACCATGTGTGGCTTGCCATTAAAGACGTAAAGGACTTTAATGTTCCTATCGGGGCAGTGGTGAAATCAAGGGATGGACTTGGAATGTTGCTCACAGATGAACAAGGAGAGGTATGAAAGAAACTTTTGCATACCGTTTAACTCCAGAACCATCGGTTATTTAAAATCAGTTTTTTTTTTTGCATTCAATTCTTTCAGGAACGATTTGTGAGCGGATCCTCGTTGAATGATGTGGAGTCAATGCATCCAAGCTGTATCTGTGGAGTGGATGATATGATTCAACTCGGAGAGCTCACTGAAGCAGCAATACTGAGGAATCTGTTTATCAGATATCATAGCCACAAAATTTACGTACGTTTTAACGACTTTGGGAAACACATTTTATGAGTCACCAGCATACGAAAACGATTTCACGTTTTTTTTTTTTTAGTTACGAAACTACCAGAACGTAACATTTTGTGTTAGAATGAAACAGTAACCGTAAGGTCCCAAAAGAAAGTTCATTCAGCGCACAAACCCACTTTTTTCGTTTTTCCTATTTTGTATTTTAGTTCAACTTCGGACATTTTGGTATCAATGCGATACCGTAAACAAGTTATATCCATCGATCTAAACCATGAGACTATTAACTGTTTATAATCTCTTGATCTAGTCAAAAGAAGAAAGAAGGTTGCGGACCAGGACTGAAATCTCGGACAGAAACAACTCTAAGGATAACCTTACGAAACATTTGCACTAACACCCCCCTTGAGCTACTGCATTAGCAAATAACTTCTAATTTACCAGGATTGTGTTTTTTTTTCCTCTTTTCTTTATTACTCCGTCTGACTGGTCCATAAAATGTGACCTGCACTACCCCCTCAACCAATCAGACACGAGATAAAAACTACTCACGAATTTGCTCTTTACGCTTGAGGTTGGTTACTAACCTTCTGATTGACCCTAGAATTCTGATTGGCTCTTCATGATGTAAACCTTTGTCCTGGTTTGCTGATGTTAGTGCTCTCGTTCCTGTGTTATAACACTGAATTTAAAAGTACACGTACTCCAGTTGAAAAATTTGAGTCCAATTGTTAAAAAATCAGGTTTCTATTCTACGTTTACAGACGCATATAGGCATGGTACTCGTAGCAGTGAATCCATATCAGTTGTACCAGATATATGGTCCTCAACAGATTGATATGTACAGTCAACAAACAGATATCACAGAGCTGCCGCCTCATGTATTCTCCACAGCTCAGCATGCGTTTATCTCCATGAAGAGAAGACTTCACAACCATAGTATAATTATAAGGTGTGTTTTTTTAAGACCCAGGTTACTCTTGATCAACCTCGTTCCCAGGGTCACTCGTCTTCCCGTCCCATGGGGCGAGAGGGGGCGGGAAGATGAGAGACCCTGGGAACAAAGTTGACTCTCGATGATGATGATTATGATAATGATTTAAACCCTTACTTTTGATGGTATCACCATTTTGCGTTTTTACTTATCAGTGAATTCAAGCCTATTTCGCGGTCGTGGAAGAAAAAAATGCAACTGTGTTGGGTGTACGAGGAAAATTGTCTCGCGAACTTTGTGACACATATTTTCGTCTACGAATGTCAGAGAAAATGACAATTCAGTTTATTATACAAACCTTTTCATTTCTATATATAATCTTTGTGCCTTGCTTTCTAGTGGTGAAAGTGGCGCGGGCAAAACTGAATCTACCAAGCTAATCCTTCGTTACCTGACAGTTGTGGGCGGCCAACACACGACGCTGGATCAACAGATATTGGGCGCGAATCCAATCTTAGAAGGTGATGAAGATCGACTTTAAAATCTGGATACTTTCAATATAATTCCCAGAGGTCATGTTCCCATCATCGTTCGCGGGTGGGAAGCGAGGGCATCGCTTACTCTCCAGAGTGCATATCTTGACGGAGCCAAAAAATTTGAGGGGGAATTTAAAGAGAACGAAACCATTTGCAGCTTCCCCTCTTGTTGTTCTCTTGTAATCTCCGCATGTCCGCGTATATGTCTGTCCAACTGGCTCACAGATTAATGTAACGGTTCATAATCATCTCAAGAGAAAGTACAGTGATGGACAGCAGAATAACATGCTCTAATTTTGAAAACGTTTCAGCTTAGAAAATGTTTTAAACCGTTTGTTCGGTTCTTTGTTGTTTTTTAGCTTTTGGTAACGCAAAGACGGTGAAAAACGATAACTCCAGTCGGTTTGGAAAGTAAATCAATATTTATTTCAATAGACATGCTGTTATTGAAGGAGCGAGAATTGAACAGTACCTCTTGGAAAAATCGAGGATTGTTAATCAGGTAGGGGAGAGATCCGAGTGTTTCCAGAAATGAAATGAAAAAACACATTTGATTTAAAACAATTGATTTAAAACTCAAAGAAGCTTTTTATATAAATAAGATCAAACCTGAACTTAACAAACAATTACAGCATTATAACACTTTTCTAGCATTTTTGTTCACACCTTTAATTTCATGTTTGTTGTCACCCTGTAATTAGTACCCGCTTTTGTATTACATCATACTGTAAATATTTTATTCATCTACTTGTCTGTTATATATAAATACTCACGTTCAGTTACTTATTGATTGAAGATGGCATAAGCACGCCAAAACATGTCCCTAAAAAAGGTTGTATATTTCTTACAATATTTATCCTACTTGCTACTACTACGACCTTAATTATGGAATTTCTTTTTCATTATTTCCTATTATTCAGATGCCCGATGAACGAAACTATCACATTTTCTATCGTCTGCTGGCCGGACTGACTGATATGGAAAAACAAAAGCTTCATCTCACGGAAGCAAAAGATTATCACTACCTCTCCCAGGGAAACTGTTTTGTTTGCGAGGGAATGGATGATGCTCAAGAGTTTGTGAACATCGGGCGAGCAATGAAGGTACCGAAATACTAAGGGGGAAGTTCTTTCCAAAGCGCACGATCAACAAAACAGAAATTTTTCTAGCTGTATAGTCAATGTTAATCTAGCCAAAGACTTCTTAAAGACTTCCAAAACCTATTTTTTCTAAGATTTTAACATGTTCGATTAAAATTATGGAAGCTAATTTCTCTTTATGGATTTCATTCTGCGTTAGTGATTGTGCAATGCGCTTATTCAAGTTCGTCACCGACATTCATTCGGCAGGTTTTGATGTTTTCCGAAGAAGAACAGTGGATAATATTCACTATCTTGGCTGCCATTTTACACCTTGGGAATATACGCTTTCAAGGCAAGCTTACTCTCATTTAATGCCGGACACATTCCACCTAAACGATTTCCAGCAACCTCTCTTGTTGTCGTTGCACTATGCTTATTTTGGAATTCACGTTTTCTCATCTCGTATTTGAAACTGCCACAATTTACTACACTCTATTAAAATCGCGCTCTCACCGGCTATGTCACAACCCTGCGTGCTGAGATCAACTAGAGTTTTATTGGCAAGCGATAAAGTTTCAGACTAAACATGATCCCAGAGTCATTTATTTTCCGGCAATCAGATCATGATCAGATCTTTGCACATCCCATACTATATTGAGGTATCAACCAAGAAGAGTATATTTTCATAATGTGACAAAACTGGTAATATTTACCGTAGTTTACTCGCCATTCATTGCTTTTCTGTCTCTAAATTCACAGCTTTGATCCAGGATAATATGGAAGCCTGCGCGATTTTAAATAATGACGCAGTCGAGTCAATAGCGGAATTATTACAGGTAAGTTGGCAGATAATTCATGTTAATTCCATAATAAGAACTGTGTATTCTGTACAGATAATTTTAATAGCAAGCGGTGATCGCATGAAAAGTTATGAGGATATATTATAGGGTAGAGGATTTTCAAAGCCACAAATGTGATCGATATTTACCAATCGAAAATTATCTGAATAGTAGTAACCAAACTTCACACAACGCAATAGCTTGCAAGGAGAACATGAAATGAAAAGGACAATGCGCAGACCCCAATTCAGTGCGTCTACGCTGTGTGTGTTAGCATACTCGCACGAACGTACGACCGCCTTAAGCGTGGAGACACGCGCACTCTGAAACCAATAAAAACACGAGCTAATTAGACGTGGATCGAGTCAACATGACTCTGAGAAATGTTTTTACTCGAGTTCTGTGCTTAGCATAATCCAAACCAATTTTGAATACAGCTATCATTCATCTTCATCTATATTGACTATACATCGTTCACCCAACAAGTAAACTAAGCGTCTTTATTTCTGTCGCAAAGCAGATTCCTTCAGAGCGAATTCACGAGGCATTTACCAGTAAATCGACTTATGCTTCAGGAGAGCTGATCTACTCTCCAATCGCAGAGGAAAGTGCAAAACACATTAGGGATGCATTTGTGAAAGGAATGTATGGCCGACTTTTCATCTGGATTGTTAGCAAAATTAACGCCTCCATAAGTAAACCTGCGGTAAGTTCCTATGAAAGTTTAAGGTCGACTTCCTTTCTTAGAATATTCCCATCTGAACTCGCGAAAACCGGATTTAATGCTATAGTATGAGACTCGGAGGCTTTTTTTAGTGCGTTGACTGCTAAGAATTCTGACAGTTGAGGTTGGTTTGGTTTCTTCTGATGGAAGAGGTGGAGGGGGGTCTAAAGGAAATGAAGAACTAACTACAACTTCTGGCCATTTCACTTAACTAGCTGCTAAAATTTTTCTCAGAAACGTAATTGTTCTTCTTTATCACAGGTGGATTCGAAAGGTTGTACTTCTCTTGGTGTTCTCGACATCTTTGGATTTGAAAACTTTGACGTTAACAGGTAAGGAGTCTCCGTAACACAAACAAAACTTGCTTTTGGTCATTGATATTTTGAATTGTATTTAGTTTTAGCGAGGAGAGGCTAGCTGGCAAAAATTGCCACAGATCTACCTAGAACAGCCTGGCCCTCGAACTGACCGCTTACATTTCACTTCTTCCTCCTTCTTTAGTTTTGAACAACTGTGCATTAATTACGCAAACGAGAAACTTCACAGTTTTTTCGTTGACCACGTGTTTAAAATGGAGCAGGTGAGTAAGAGAGTCTTTCCTTACTATAAAATGCGAAAATGAAGCTCAGGGATATTGTAATACCATGAGCATTTAATGTCCAAGTACTTAATACTTAATATACTATTCAATTCTCCAACATTGTGAGTCTTTTCTAACCAGTCCATTTTGTAAACTAGGCTGAGTACAGCCGGGAGGGCCTAGAATGGAGTTCTGTGGACTTTGTGGATAACCAAGAAGTCGTAGATACTCTGGCAAAGAAACCGCTGAACTGTTTTGCGCTCATGGACGAGGAGAGTAGATTCCCTCAGGTGAGAGAAAAAATATGTTTCCTTCAGTTTCCAATTATCGATTAATCCAATTTTGCTCTTAAAGTCGTTTTTTTTTTTTTTGTAAGCACTTAGCTAAATCAATCGTTTGTTTCTCTGTTAGGGAAGTGACGAATCATTTCTGCAAAAAATCACTTCCCAGCACGGTAACAGCAGTTGTTTTGTGAAGTCTAAGTCGCTTTCGAGGGCGTCATTTGGTGTGGTGCACTTCGCGGGAACAATTGAGTATAACGTCAGAGGTATGTTGTGCTAATGACTGCATGAGTCAGCCTTTTGATAACAGCCTCTTTTATTTGTTGTTGCCGCTGTTTCTTTTTTTCATGCGCCGACATGTATTCAGCCCAGAGGAGGCAAGTGCGAGACGGACACAGACGAAGTAAGAGACACTCGAGGCTCCCACCCGTCTTGCGTTTGCCTCTTCTAGACGGAAATACTCAAAACAAAATAACGCCTACACAATTATTTGAAGCCGAGTATTGTCATACTTACAATCTTCTAATTTCCTTGAAGGCATTCTGGACAAGAACAGAGATACGTTCAGCGCAGACCTTGTTGGACTTATTTGTGAGAGTAAAATGGATTTCCTTTTTAACATGTTTGCCAAAGAGATGTCAATGGTAAGCTTGGAAGTTTTGGTTACGAGTATAAATACTCACCAGTCTATTCATGGGAATATCCATTAGCCTAGGTGGAATGGCTTTGAGGTTCGTGGAAGATAGATTATAATAGAAACCAGGTTATGTATCAAAGTGATCCTCGCAATAATGAACCCTACTTATGTAGTAGTGTTAGCTTAGTTGGTAGAGCATTGCGCCGGTATCGCTGAGGTCATAAGTTCAAATCCCGTACAGGCGTGAAGTTTTTTCAGGCCTAAATTTCACTACTATATAATACATTTAATGAAACCGCAGTACACGCATATACTGATCATTTTAATATATTCAAATTCAGTGAGAAACCACGTTTTTTACGATTTAGCAGCAAACCTGAGGATGTCGAGTGACTAAGGTCGTGCGATTGCACTTGAAGTATGAAGTTCTTACATGTGCATGATATGAGAACTGTCCTGACATCGTCGTAATTTCGCCTGAAAGCTCAGGATTGTATTGAAAAAAAAAATGGACCTTAGATTGGAAAATAGTGCACGTTAATACCTTCCTTGTGCAAAAGCCGCTATTTTTTTTTTACCAAACTACCCACAGTTCTTCACGTTTCACGAGCAGTTGGAATACCTTGGTAAAATTTGAAACCCTGGCAACCCGAAACGGCAAACGTCCAACCGCAAACCACAATTTTCGGAAAACCTGATGCTAAAGATTTCTCAGTATGGAGTAATTACGGCTTAGTGCTCCAACCACTTTTTTTTTTCCTTATTTGTCCTCTGCCAATGTTGAAGTTGTCAGCTTCGGATGAAGTGCTCTACTGTGTTGAAATTTTCTCAAGTTGAGAATCGGGATTCTCTCGCGTCTCTGCGTCGGCGTAACAGAACATAAGCTTTACCATCGTTATCTAAAATCTTTGCTCTCACGTGAGACCAAGACAGAATTTCTCCTTACAATATCAATACAATATCAAGCAAACAAGTGATGAGAATAAAGAAAAATATAAATTGGGGGATTATCATTTGATCCAATACCAAATTCTCTAAAGCAAAATCATAAGAATTGTAGGGCAGACAGTAAGGAGAATTTTGTAATCAGATCTTGGAGTGAAAGAGTGAATAATGAATGTGCATGGAGACCTTCCAGTAGTCTTCTGAGAGGAAATGTATAGTTTTTATTGAGTTCTCTAACGTTTCCAGTAATCTTCGGACTGCATTTTTTCAATCTTTTTTATTTTAGGGTGAAGAGACAAGAAAGAGATCACCAACACTGAGCGCACAGTTTAGGAGATCTCTTGATGTGTTAATGAAGATGTTGTTGAGCTGTGAGCCTTCTTTTGTACGCTGCATCAAACCTAATGAGTTTAAAAAACCCATGGTACGTCATTTAGTGGTTCTTTTTTTCTATCAATGTCATTTAACGTGAGTGACAGTTGGATAGACCATGATAAGCGAATTCATTTGTGCTTGTTGCGTCTTCAGAAAAATTTAAAAAAAGTAAGAGCAAGATCAAGTACTTGGATTGTCTTCCGTAATGATTTAGACGGAGAAATGGTTAGGCTATAACCTCTTCCGCCCCCATAGACAGGCGATAGAAAAACTCCTTATACACTCTACATGGGAGAAATATGGAAAATAATATGATATTTCAACGTTAACATAGCAAGAAACTTGAAGCAGATGTTATCTTAATTTATGGAGAGAGTTTGAACAGGTTTGAAACAACACCTTGCGGCAGTAGTTACAGTTGAATGACGCGAAATTCTCTTCTTTATTCGCAGATATTTGATCGATACCTGTGCTGGCAACAGCTCAAATATTCAGGAATGCTAGAGACTGTGAAGTAAGTGTTCGTAATTATGTGTGCTGCTACAAAGGCTGCTACAAATAGGATAGACAATTTACGTACCTTCAATTTGCAAGGAAAAATATTTAATAAAAAAATTATCTGCTTCAAGGAATACTATCGATTCTCGTCTCAAAAGAATTAGTTAACCAATTGAATGTAAATGTTTTTCCGGTTTTGTTTACTTTACTACTTCCTTTAAAGGAATATGTGCATTATTTGACCAACAAACATTTAGCAAACATGCTCGGCAAATCGGCAAATTTTGTTATTAGGTTTATTGAATGCGGTGGTGGAACGAAACAAATGCCGTGATAGATTTATTTTTTAACGGAAATTATCGGTGGAAAAGTCCTCTCTCCTTTTTTACCCAACATTAAAGCGGGGATTTTGGTGAATGAGAACTTCGGCGATTAAAGAACCCCAAGCGCATTATGGTCTGAGGTACTGGGTTTGAGAGTTTTTTGCCATAGTTGGTCCCAGGCTTCCCCGCGTGGGGATTTTCAAAATGGCTGGTTCACTATCGCCTATATCTAAACCATCATCGACAGATTTAACGCCAAATTCCAGGTGATGTTTGACGCAGAAACCTCTCTTTTAGAACGAAAAAGATAGCTTTGAAGCATTCAAAGTTTCGATTGAACTATCTACGCCGAACCACGTTGTATGTGATCAAAAATTTCTTTCATACCTTGCAGGATTCGCAAAGCTGGATTTGCGATTCGGTACACTTTTAAAGAATTTGTAAACAGATATCACATCATCATGAAAGAGTTAAAGATACCCCGGATGAACCAACGTGAAATGTCTGAGGCTCTGGCTAAACAGCTCCTTTTGGATGTGGAATGGACGATTGGGCGTAGAATTATATTTTTGAAGGTAGGCAAATTAAGTACTTCTCGTGTTATAATTTAACTCAGAATTTTTTCATTCTATCTTAATGACTGTCTTGAAGTCTTTTGCCAATCGGATAGATTTATCTGAGCCTCAAATAGTAACTCTAAAGCTTTACATGCAGTGAACGTAACGGACGAACACAAATATTCGAAAGTTGCCTGATGTATGGAAACTCAACGGTCTTTGAAATATACGAATATTTAATTCAAGCCGTGTCTCATCGATACAAATAAATAGCTTTCATAAATAGGTAACAGGTTAGCAACCACAATTGCATAAAGCTGTATAAAACCTGAAAGAAACAGAGTCTCATGCAAAACTAACCATGCCAATTCAGCGTTTCTTTCAATTATTATGGTTATTCAAAAGTCTACAGAAAGTATAAGATCCGAAGCCGTGCATAGAGTGACAGTGTAGAATATATTTTCAAGAGAATTCATTCTCGAATCATTCCTGAGATGTGAAATTGAATTTGGTTGGTACAATATTGGATTTGCAAAAGAACTTTCCTTCCTCTAATTGGCAAAGAAATGTCATTACAGAGCTTGGTAGAGCAACTTAAGTGCGACTAGGTAAATGTGTTGTGGACAGCAGATATTTAAAAAAAAGACACCGGTAACTTAAGTTTCTATAGTGATATCAAGGGAATATAAACTGAATATATTCTCTTGGTAATATACTGTTTCAAATTTAACAGGATCACCATGGAGATATACTTGAACAAGCCCGCGATCAACTGCTTACGAACGCAGTGGTTGTCCTTCAAAGAGCAATGAAGGGATTTCTAGGTCGCAAAAAGCGTCGAAAACAGGAATGCGCAGCTGTGTTGATCCAAAAGACATGGAAGGGATACCTTGATAGGAGAGAATACCTTCAGGTATGTGATCCATTGATGCAAAATAAAATAATGCTGTCCCATTATTTTTGCTCATTGTCATGACATTTACCCGGCCAAATTCAGACAAACAGGATTTCCTTGACGTGTAGAATAAAAACATTTTTAATCACATGGTTAGCAAAAAAACTATAGAAGATGGCTTTGTATTATAGGATTACTCCTTTCCTAAATCTTCTCTATAGAATATTTTATCATTGAAGGCTCTGCCTGTTTGAAATCTGGCATGCCAATAACTGGAAAGGAGAAACTTGTCAAGGGCCACTTACTGGTGTAAATGCAACTTAAGCAGCATTTCTGCACAAACTAGGTTTAAAACTTTCAAAAATAACGCACCCTCTGTTTTTTCAAGTTTGCCCAGATCGTCAGTTACTAATCTTCCGGTAGCGCATAAGGCCTTCGTAGAGTGCCTTAACCCTCCCCATTCAGGTACTGTTTTCTGCATCCCATTTCCCCATTCCCTCTCCGTTCTCTTTTGTTTCTCGACTTTGTGTCTTCAGGAGGTTTTCTTTGTCTTCCTCTTTTTATCTTTCTTTCCATTGCCCATGTCATTGTTGCATTTCTGTGTTGATAATGCCGGGGACTAGGCGCTAATTATGCTGTCGTGTAATTGTTGACTATGGCAATATGCCAATTAACCGGAAAGTACCCAATTAGTTGTCAGTCCCAGGCAAAGGGATTTCAAATAGCTTTTGACCGTGATCGTGCGAAGACCTTGTAAAAATCTGTGACTGTTCAATAAAGTGAGATATACATGTAAAATCGAATCCGTGATCTTCTTTGGATACTGACGCCATCGGCTGGAGAATTCCAGAAATGAAAACAGTTCCACCCTTTCAATTTGGCTTATTCATTAGAGCTGCTTTCATTTTCTTTAAACTTACGGTAAATTTGTCGTACGTTTTTTTGATAAGTTACTTCAAAGTAATCTTTTCGATCCTTTTAGCAATTTATGAATTTTAAAACCTATACAACCCATTCCAATTGGAATAAAGGAAGCCAGGAAAAATCTCTAAGGAATGTTATGATTATATATCGCAAGAAGAAAAGACTCAATTTCCATTTTGGACCAAACGTACCTTATTTCGAATTACAGAGCTTAACTATTTTCTCGCAGGTTTTGAAAGGAGTAACAAGACTCCAGGCTATTATCAAATCTCACTTGTTATCACAAAAGTTCAAGCGCGTGCGCGAAGAAAAGCGGAGAGCCGAACAAGAAAAGGAGCGAAGACTGGAGAGAGAAAAACAACAAAAAGAGGACGAGGCTAAGTTAAAGGTGTGATGTCTTCATTTTTACAATAACCTTGAAATTAACGTGTTTATTTAATTATCAATCTATTTCTTTTTATTATTATTATTA